AATAGTATCAAGGGTTATCATTGTCAAACCAATGGAATAATCAGATCAACAACAATGAACAATAAACTATTAGAACCTTCATTTAGTAGACGTCGCTTTTTTCTATCTTTTCTGTTTTCGACATTTTTCCTTTTCGATATTTTTCTTTCGACATTTTTCCCTTTCGATATTTTTCTTTCGGTGTTTTTCTTTCGGTATTTTCCCTTTCGATATTTTTCCTTTCGGCCTTTCTACGGCCAACCGTTCGATTTACCCGATGAAATGCTTATGATCATTTTTAAGAAATTGGAGAATATCGATGTACTCTATTCTTTATGGGGCATCAACACACGATTCGATAAAATTTTATATGACTCAATCTTTACTAGTTCTTTGACATTACTGCAATGTCTACCAAATTGTTTTATCTGTCCATTACCTGATACAGTACTTGATCGATTTTGTTTACAAATCTTATCTCAAATTCGTCTTAAAATCAAATGGCTTGATATTGAATCATCATCGATGGAACGAATTCTTCTTGCTGGCGAATATTCTAATTTATGTGGTCTCGGTATATACAACATTACCGAGGATGTAGCTATCCGTCTTTTTATTGGTAAGAAAGTCAACTTTAATTGGTTTTATCTTTAAAGTATTATGAAAATGAGTATGAATGATTAAACATTTCATATTCTTAAATAAAACACAGATGAATAGATCATTGCAGACGTTCGTTCATGCCAAAACGTTTATTTTTATGTATGCATATATATCCTAACCTAAAACAGTTTCGGTTAATATTTTTTAAATTAAGTCTTACTCTAAGTAGTGGATGATATAATTTTAACACTTAGATTTTTGCTATTATAGAAATGAATTTTCAAAGAAATAATTATATATTTCTTCGATTCACTGTATAGAGCTTAGACATGAGAATTTACCTATCTTTGGCTATCCATAATATTTTTACTATATGGTAACTATGGTTCAGATAACTATGCAATAAGTATGACACAAGTAACCCTGCAGAATGGTTAAAAAGAGCATTTAGTTAATGTGATTTTAAGTGACCAAACAAAACAGCTTAGTGAAAATTGCTAAAAGTATTTATTCTGGTTGAAATAATTTTTCAGTGCTATGTAAATGAGTATGTGATACCATGTATTTCCTTGATTGAAAGAATAAAATTTAGAAATGAAAATCCATCGATTTTTTTCTCTATCTTTAACATAATTCAAATGATCATGAAGTAAGGTTGTATCTGATTATGACACTAATATACAATTGATCATCTGTTAATCCTTTGTAGTAGAATAATTATCGATAAGCCAATGCAGTATGGGAGCCAATTAAATTCCTCTCTGTCCTTTTTCGTGTTTTTATCAATGTACACCTTTTGTAGTATATGTAACAAACTACAAGATGCACCACGTTCCGAGCATTGTCCATATGTATAATAATTTCAAAAAAAATAAGATAAAGGCGTATAGTGATAAAAATA